TTATATATTTAAATTTTTTCTATATATTATGCACTTTAGTTTTTAGCGCTGCACAATTTACACACTTTATAAATTAGTCTAGGCAGGAAGGTAATGTGTCTATGATAGCACAGCCATGGGCCCTCACAATATGATGTACCAGACACTAAGTCATGCACAGGGCCTTCCTGCACAGATTAAATCTACATACCAAACTCTCCCACTATTCCCTGATTGGGTATTAATATCAGCGGTGTGACTAGGGAGGGTGCAGAGGGGGCCCAACACCTGGGTGGCAACATTTTAGGGGGTGAAACCAAAATTACTGAAAAGTTGGGCTCTCGGACATGGACCGAGTGCCCGACAGCTGTACGAGAGAGAGACAGGCATACCTTATACCACTAGGTGAATGTACCGTCCTCTCTCTGCTGGCGTCCATCGCCAAGATGGTTGTTGGCAGGTGACAGCGGGTGATGTCATCACATACGTGCACGATGACGCCACACGCATGCATGATGACGTCAAGGTGGGGTGACACCAAGCCTCGGGACGCCCCTGACTAACATAATAAACAAACTTCCTATTTACTAATTAGTGATGAGACAATTGGTCTGGGTTTGGTTTACTTGGACATTTTCTGAACCCAGCCAAAAATCCAGGTTCAGCAAAATGTTCTAGCAAACCAAACCTAGGGATGCCTTTGTTATCCTTTTGTTTTATATATATATTTAAAGAGATAGAGAGAGAGAGAGAGAGAGAGAGAGATATTCACTCTCCTCCTACTGGACTTAAGATGTTGGGATCTGTAATCCCTCTGCAGTCAGGAAGCACATTCCAGAGACTTACATTTTGATCCTGTCATTATCACTAGGCATATCCACAGAGGTGTTAAACTGGTAATTCAGCAGTTCCGTTCCAAACAAATCATATTCCAGGTACGATCCGAGATCCGCAAACTCCAGCAGTTTTTCTTCATCAAAGATGGTTCTAGAACGAAAAAGAGACAATTGTTCTATTACATAAATGTTGACACTTGACTAGAGGTTTTCTATTAAAAAGGATTAAGGCGCTCCGTGTCATCTGATTACACAAAGTAGTTGCTTTCCTAACACATTTTTTATTAGACTCAGATTAATTATGGAGATGTCTTTACTCAGACAGACAAAATCTACTGGCCTCTTACCTGTCTACTGAAATGTCCTTACATTGACCACAGAAAGTAAGTACTGGTACACATTAAGCTATAAACATTCATATACTGTATATGTGTGTATATGTGTGTGCATGTGCATAGGTATACAGTGTATGGCAGCAGACTGGCTTAGTGGTTATCACTTCTGCCTTGCAGCACTGGGGGTCCTTGGTTCGAATCCTGGTCAGGATGCTGCCTGCAAATAGTTTGTGTGTTCTGTGTGTATGTGCAATAGGGACCTTAGAGTGCAAGCTCCTTGAGGGCAGGGACTAATGTAAATGTGCAGTATGTAAAGTGCTGTGTAAATTGTAGGCATTATATGAATACCTGAACTAAATAAAGTCCAGTAATCCAAGGATGCAGCACAACAGTGGTAATGCAGTTATGTTTACATACCCTACAGCAGTGTTTCTCCACCTTTTTTCAGTTCAGCACCCTTTTAAAAGTATGCAAAATCTTGAGGCACCCCAGTCTAATAGGTAAAACAGGTAAAGGTAAAAAAAACATGTGGGCCTTCCAAAATCCATACCAGACCCTTATCCCAGATAGGGGTGTGGTATGGGTTGTAAGTGGGGACCCATGCAAAGAGGTTCCCCTCTTCACATCAGAATCCCTTCTTTAAATCAGGAACCCCCCTTCTCATCAAAGCCCCTTTCACAGGGACTTCATCAGAAGTACCTCTTTACCTTAGAAGTTCCCCTTTCACAGCAGAGTCCCCTCTTTACATTTTAGAGACCCCTTTTCATATTAGAGTCCTTTCCTACCATACGAGAAGCCCCCTTCACATCAGAAGCCTGCCTGCACCATGGAAAGATATGATAGAGCAGGGGTGGCAAACACAAGGCCCGCAGGCCGAATCCGGCCCGCCGGACCTTGTAATGTGGCCCGCTCAGCAGCCACCTCATTTTGCCAGGTTGGGATTTCAGCAAGTGAGCGGCGCGGCCAGTCTGAGCAGGCATTACATATTCCCCTTACTGTGCCTCTCCGTCTCCGCCTCCGCCCTGTCTCCACCTCCACCTCCTCTCTTTCTGCAGCCATGACGGCTTACAATGCCGCTCTGGTGCCCGCCTCCACCTCCACCCCGCCTCCCTAGTCCTTCCAGCCAGCGATGCCGGCTTTTTTGCATGCCACTGAATGTTCATAGTGGCAGAGATTGCTGGCAGTTTTTTGGGAAGTTTTTTTCCCCCATCCAGCGGGCTGCGTTCTGTGCCTCTTCTTAATAAACTGTGTGCTGCTATTTTAAAGTTTATCGTAAAAAAAAAAAGCAAAGTACTGATAACACAGGAGATCCACCCACAGAGGGATGGTACCACTATAGCCCATAAAAAAAAAAGGTACTATAGCCCAATACAAAGGGAGGGAGCCGCCTATACAGGGAGGTACCAGAGCTGGTCCAGGTAGGAAGGTAGGGGAGAGTACAGATGTGAGGAATTTTTAGGCGCAATCCTGACCCCTGCACTGTGTACGTAGCGTACTTTTGATGGTGGGAGGGCTCTTGACATCTGCTGTATTGGGAGTGGGGTGCTCTGGATGTCTGCTTATAATTATTATGAGAATAATTTAATTCCATGCCAGTTGAAAAGTAGGGTTGTAGACTGCTGGTATCGTCCACAGGAGAACTTTATTGAGGACACCATGGTGTTCGGTCTGAGCAGTCTCCAATAAAGTTTCTTGTGGATGTTACCAGTGATGTGTGACCCTCTTTTTCAAATACAATACAACCGGCCCTTTGAGGGTAACCATACTGCTGATGCGGCCCCCGATGAATTTGAGTTTGCCACCCCTGTGATAGAGTATGGAAATATCAAGGCATCCCTGAGGAAGGTAGAAGGCACCCCTGGGCACCGTTGTTGAGAAAAGCTGCCCTACAGTAGGAATACACAAAGGAAACATGAAAATAGGAAACGGAGAACAGTGCTTTTGGGTGATCCTCATACTTGCTGAAATTAATAGTTAACCAGGTATATGATCCCATCACATTTAATCCTCCTCAGGAGACCAATGTCATCAACACAGGAAATGCAATAAAGTCCAAAACAATAAAAAGGGATATAAAGGATTGTAGTTGCAACCACGATACAAACAGGATTCTTGTCTTCAGTGATCTTTGATTTCAAGTGACCTGAAATAAAATAGTTTAACAAAAATCTTTTTGTCTCAAGGTTGCGGTCACAATCCTTAATAACCCTTTGATTGATTTGGACTTTATTATTGCATTACCTGTGTTCAATAGAATTTCAGTAAAGGTAAAATCAAGTTGCAAATCGTCCTCTCATCCATAATATCTATGTACGCTGTAAAAAGACAGCATTGTCACTGTAAGATAAAAAGGTCTCACATTTTTCTTGAAGTGTTTATTATTTAAAAGGCTTAGCTGGTCAGCTTTTTTTTTAACGGTTTTTCTACAGCAAGCCATTTGCAAAATTGTTAGTATATTTCAAAGAGTGGATTTCAAAGTGCAAGTTGGCTTGTGAAGTACAGGAGAGCCGCTAGTTTGCTTATTAAAATGTAAAATAGGTAAAAGTGTTAATTAGTTGTATTCTGTGATTTCAACAGCTCCTCGTCTTAGAATAACATCTTGATGCTTAATTAAAGTTAAAGGGAAAGCGCAATGAGGGAGAATTTACTATAACTAGAGCAGACAGAATCTGGACCGGCTTTGCATATTAACCAATGCAGTTTGTTCAGTAAAGGTGCCCATACACCTGACGATCGTACGATAATCGCAAGGTTGATGGGCAGCGTGCGACCGCATTTACTGTACAGTCGTACGGTTTTCATATAACAAGCATGTAGAAAACCCACCGAAAATCGTACGATTTCCAGCGGGTTGGTAGCGCCATCGCAAGACGAAAGCCGCACGACCCGAAAGCCGCGCACACTGCCCGCTCACCATTGCAATCATTTGCAAGCCTTTCCTTCAGCGGGGAGGACTTGCGATGATTGCAAGTGCGATCTGCCTGTCCATGATGGGCAGGTCGTACGAAATTGTAATCACCTTACAACCATCGCACAACGAAAGTGTATGGCCACCTTTAGGCTTTGAAAATGAAAAACAGAAGCTGAATGGTTACTACGCACAGTTGCTCCAGATTCTGTCTGCTTCAGTCTTAGTAAATTTTGCTCAATGTATTTTTTGTGAGCACGTATTATAAGTGAAAAACCGAGCTGAGTGGCATTCGGTTCAGCTATTCTGCTCGGTACCTCCAAAGTAGCAAGCAGAATAGAAACAAAGTTAAATCAAAGGGAAAAAAAATGTTGAAAAATTATTTAAAAAATAGGAAAATTAAAAAAAAGATATATTTTAAATAAAATAAATAAATAGTAATAAAAAACACGCACGCTGACCCGACCGCACGCAACGAACTCCTGCTGCATAATGTCAAATCTGACATATAATATAAACAATTGGGCAGAGCTAGCGGTGACTGTTTCCTGTTGGCCGGCACCTACCAGAGTCTTCTAGTAGGTCCCGGGCACTAAATAACAACTGGGCGGAACTATCCGTGATGTCACAGCCAGCTCCGCCTAGTTGTTATTGTTTAATTACAGATCGACATCCCCAGGTCATTTGTGGATGCTGATCTGTCATTTAAACTGGGCGGAGCGAGCTGTGAGATCATGGCTGCTCGGCCCAGCTGTCATTTGCGTGGAGAAAGGTCGGCCCTTCAGCCGACCTTTCTCCACACTTCGGCTGTCACTTCAGCTTAGTCGAGCCGAAGCATATGCCTTCGGCTCGGCTGAGCCACTTGGCTGCCACTGGGCTATTGTGAACAGGCAGCCGAAGCGAGCCAAAGGATCAGCCAAAGCTATGGCTGGATCCTTTGGCTCAATAGTGAATAATCCTCTAAGACTTTTACATGTTTTCTTATTATTTTAAATGTAGAGATTTGTAGATTCACCACTGAAGGGAGCTCTTAGAGGCTCAATCCCTCCAAATAAAGACACAGACAACAATAAAACTCAGACAGAGACTCTAACCTTTCGCTGCTCTATCCAAAACTAATTAGTGCATTTTAACTGGAGTTGACCTTCAATCTGAGGTTCATCTAACATCGTTCAGTGTTGAAGTACAGGTTCTCTTAAGTGGCATTTAAGAGAAAAGTTCCCCAGACTGTTTTAGCTGATAACAGTACCTATCTAGGTGAGACATTACAGTTTTTGACACGTCGGCTCCAGCCTCTTCCAAAACCCGCACAATCTGGAAGGGAGCATCGCTATTTCTGCCAGGATGGATATTCACTGGGCACCCAAGCTGTGTCTGAGCCTCAGCTGTTGCTTGAAGAACTTTCTTTTCACTGTCAGTCAGTGGCCATGAACATCCAATTTCTCCAATAATTCCGCATTTTATGTCTGTTCCGTCTGCCCCTCTAAGGACTTCATCCGTCAGAACTTGGGTCAGCTAACAGGGAGATGAGGACAAAGGCAAGAGTGTTTTAATGAGGGGCACGCTATATTTTTGAAGGTGTACACCTAAGTCAAATTAATTTACATTTTTCTATGACCTGTCCCTATATAATAACTATAAAAAAAATCCTTACTAGTCCATGGAGTCCAGCATTATCTTCATTGGAGCTATAGCTCTCCTTATAAGTCCTCTTCCTGATTTTCATCACACACATAAACAGAAATGCCTTGGGACTCTGATGGGTTTTTAGGACCTAGCAAAGACTTGTGGTGTGATTCCCACACAAGCGCAGACATGCTCCCCATCTTTTAGGTCTTTGGGATCTGGCAAACTCTGTGGTGCGTCTGCACATGCGTGGAGATAGTCAATTTTGTCTAAGATGATGATAAACAGTCCAATCCCCCTAATTTGGCACCACTTTGTCCATTTAGGGCCCTATTCCCTCAAGCAAGTCACAGACTATGAACAGGAAATCTTTTCCCATCTGTCACAAACATCTGCCAATGTCCATGTCACTAGTGAGAAAAATATGATACTGTTCAACCCAAGCTACACTAGACATAAGTGTGCACACTTACCTCTAACTGATTAGGTGCTTTTATTTAGTTGTATTCTCTCCCTGTCAGGCTATAAGGCCATTCTATCTCCTGCCCGAGTTTGATAACTGCTGCTAACAGATACTCAAAACACAGTCATATAACTGTAGGGATGTGTTCCTTAACAGGCTTGCATTTTGTTTTGCATTTTTGCAGTTTGTATTGAAAAGCAGTTCACCCAAGCATGATCTGTAATATGTTTTCTGCTAATCACTTTGTTGAGGCTCTCTCCCTCAGGGGTGGGTACAGAGAGTGTTGTCTGTTCTGTTAGTAGGCCAACCCCTGCTGAGCATGTTATCAGTGGGTTAGACCTAGCATGGATCAAATAGGGAGGTAATGGTCTGGAAGTGTCCTTTAGATGCTTGTCACTTGCTTTTGCCAGCCCTCCCGTCTTACATAATTACATAGTTAGGTGGAAAAGAGACACAAACCCATAGAATTCAACCTATAGAGTTGGAAGAGGAAGTCCTCTGTTAGCCTTTTATCTTCAAGGAAAGGCTCTTTGTTGAGAGTTTTCCCCTGGAACAGGCTGTCTGCCTGGTTTTAGGCCCCGGGCCAGGAGCTCGGGCCTGGAGGATATTACCCACCCTTGTGAGCATGCTGTATGCCTGGAGGCCAAGTATGCCAATGGGATTTTCTGCTAGAGTCATCAATGGAACAGAGATACACTCAAACCTCTTGTTTTTGGCTGCATGATGCTTCGGGAGGTTGAGACCCACCTTAGTGACTACTAGCCAAGGAATTGTAAGAGCATCATGGAGTTTTGGGTATTCTAACTACTTTGTTCTCCTGTCCTACCTTCTACCATGTTCAAGTAAAGTATTTAAAACTGCCCTTAAGTGTAGACCTACATTCCTTAACGTAAGTGTTATCTATCTTGAGGATTAGGAACTTCCTATTAGGGAGTCATTCTTGTATTCATAAGACCCATTTAGATGAAGGTACTATAGTGCTAGGAATGTCAGGACACTAAATGTAAGAACTCTGACTTATTGGAGGCTCAGAATGTCCTGTTACTCATGGAGTTGCTACAAGATAGGATGTAATGGCTGCAAGGTAGGTTATAACCTAACATGCCCCCATCCCTATCCTGAAACACCATTACATAACAAAAGGTGCTGTTAGTATTCTTAATTATGGATTCATATTTCTACTTTATGGCAGCAGCCTGGACAGAGTTTCAGCACTCTTACATGTGTATGTAACAATGCAGACATCCCAACTCTCCCGGACGTTTTGGCAGTCTCTTTGGTCACATCTCTTGCCTTAAAGTAGGGACCCTGTGTGGCCCCGAAACGTCGGCTCATGTTGGATTTCTGTGACATCATTGTCCATTAAAAGGACTCATTCATTTTAACTTATGGAGTGCTGGTGACCTATTTCTTCAATCTTGTGTTTTGCACGGTGCCATCCGTGAAGTTACTTCGAGCACCATTTATTTGATTGTTGGCCGGGACTGCTGAAAGGTGTGCGGAGGGCATTTCCATCAATTGCATATGTAACAATGCAGACATCCCAACTCTCCCGGACGTTTTGGCAGTCTCCCACTACTAGATAGCGGCTCCCGGCTGCCCGGGAGAGAAACATTTTCTCCCGGAAAGGTTTACTCTGCTCAATCTAGCAGAGTAAACCTTTCCCTTCTGTTTTTTTTTTTTTAACTCTGATATCGGAGCCGCCGGCCGCCGTCAGAGAAAAAAAAAAAAAGACGGCATAGAAATGAATTGCTAGATTGCTATTTGAATTTGCAATAGCAGACTAGCTATTGCACCCGCCCACTGCTGCTGTCAATCAGCAGAGGTGGACCTGAAGTTCTCCATCAGGTCCTCTCTCTGCTGATTGACAGCACCAGAGGGCGGGTGCAGTAGGCAGCTTGCTATTGGCTATTGCAAATTCAAATAGCCAATAGGAATCTAGTTATTCATTTCTATGCCGTCTTTTTTTATTTTCTTTATTCTGAGGGCAACAGCTATCAGAATAAAAAAAAATGCAAATGGCAAGCGAAGCATTAAAAGGAGAACTATGGGGTCAGGGCTTTTCCCCATAGTTCTGCTTAGGGTAACGGGAGGACACAAACTAGCGTCCTCCCGTCACCCTAAGCTCAGTATACCGCGAACTGTAGCCGGAGAGGATCCCGATATCGATGTTGAGATCCGCCCAGCTGCGTGTGTGACAGCTGGCTCTGCCTATCTAGAGGCAGAGCCAGCTGTACCCGCCCTCTCCCAAGACAATGTAAGAGTGGAGCTACAGGTTCCTACACAATCCAGATTCCGCATTGATTCTCTTTAATACAATTGCTAGCTCAATGCTAAACAATTATATAGGATAAGGAAGCAAGCCAAAAACACAATTCAAAATGGGTCAATATAATATATATTTTCAAAATTAGTTTTACACACAGTGAAAACAGATTGAATCATTGCATTTCCTATGCAAACTGCACAGCTATTTTTACATTAATGCTGTACAGCTAATACTAATAGGTTCACATACCGTTATAGTGAATAAGATCCATCATCAAAATACATAGCTAGAGTTTTGTGTAACAGCTCGCATATAGCCTAAAAAAGATGATCGCTTAATGCCTTTAACATTAGACGTGCAAGCTTCCTTTCAGCATGCCATTGTATTCCCACTAATAAGGGGAACATTGTATCTCTGAATGAAGTGCAGAAGAAAGTGCAGTCTGACACTCCGCATAAGTGTCTGAAGTCAGAGCGATAAGTGCTGAAAAATACAGAATACATAAATCTGCCGGAATTAAAGAAACCAAAAATAATTTTAATGAATGTGCCTCGGCATCAGTTATCCTGGATTTAAAGCAAAACCTTGCATGAAAAATATGATGTCCTATCTGTACAATCTACATTGCCAGCAAATAGTTATAAATAATTAAAAGGAATGTTTGTGAGGTCCTACGAGGCTGCAGAGATTAGGAGGTGACCAGGAAGTAAGCCCTCTCTCTGCAATTTTAGGGCAATCAAATGTGACAGCTCCAGAATATAATATACACAGGAAATGCAGACCACGTGTGGGTCAGATGATGGCACAAGCAACCCTAGTTTTAAATTCCTTCCCACTAACAATCTGATTATTAACATTGATGTGGGTATTTTAATAATCATCTACCCTTTAAGTGCCATTGTGGCATTTTGCACAACTGGTGGCTCAATCACAACTGTCTTGGACAGTTCAGTCCCCTATAAAAACAGGGAACCAGAGGGGTTCCAGTTTATGTGATCTACATGTCAGCTATTACGTAGTAGAGGCTTTAACTAAAAAAAACTTTACCTGTAGATGATACTGCTGCCTGAAGCTTGCAGTGTGTATCTTTTTTATACTGTAACAGTCATATACAAATACGGTACTAACAAAAAGGTAATTTTACCTTGAGAAAGAAAAGCTACAGCTTATTCCTGTTTTCTAATCTCATCACCGCAAGCAGTTTCAAATATTTTGTCCACATTCCTCTTAGGGTGTGTGAAAGTATGAGCAGTGGCGTCACAAGGGGGGTGCGGCCCGCGCTCGGGTGACACCATTGCAGGGGTGACAACAAAATGACTGGCATTTTGGTGTCACCCCCTCTAAAAAGTCGGGCACTCGGTCATGGACCGAGAGCCCAACAGTGTCAGGAGAGAGGAGGGGACCCGGCGACATACCTTATCCCGCCGGGTGAACGTCCTCTCCTCTCTCTGCCGGAGTCCATCACCAAGATGGCCACCGGCAGGCATCAATTCAGATGGCCGTGCATCGGTGATGACGTCATCGCGCACGCGCGTGGTGACGTTGGCTAAAGGGTGTCACCCGGTCTAGACTGAACTCAGATACTGTATTTACTTTACCTGTTCTACAGACATTGCCCTGGTTTCAGGTGTATGAGTAGCATCTACATAAAAACCAGCTCCTGCCACAATGTGAACCCCGGTATCTTCAGCCAGTCTTTTCAGTGTATTTACATCCCTGCTAATGCCAGTTGTAGTGTTTTCCACTATGCAGCCTCCACCAGCTGCCTTAAAGGCAATTAATTCTTCTTTTACAGCCTCCACCTCTTGGTTCAGGAGCAGGTTCTCTTTATTACTGTAGGGGTTTTGTTTCAGCCAGTACAAGTTCTCCATACGAATGGGTCCATCAGATAGGGCAGACTGATGCGTCGGAGGGGGGTAGTAACAACAGTTAAAGGTCATCGTCAAATGTTCGTGTGTCAAGGTTCTGCCGAGCTGATCAGGATGGACGAGTCCCAACACCGTCTGAACATTGCCACTCAAAAACGCCATTTTCCGATCCTTTACTAAAAGAGGAACAAGGTCCAATATTAGAGGTGGTAGTCTGTTCAGTGATCAACAATCATCTTAAAAAAGTAAACCTGATGTTTGAAACTAGTAATAATCATTAATATTAAAGAATAATTAAAACATCAGAAATCATCTTCTTATTGACCTAACTAGAGAAAACTGAAATCTGATTGGTTGTTCTTGGGTCTTGTGTACTTTACACTCTTTCACTTATAACCTGATTTGTCCATAAAAAAAGTCAGCTTGCGACCCTAGACTTCTAGACTTATATCTGCACAATTCATAGATTTCTAGGAGCTCTGCAGTCACCGCGCATATTCTGAATAGCGGGCTGTATCTCACTGGGAATATTTCACCCCTCTTTCCAGCCATCAATGTTTACGATTCCAAATAAGCTTTTATAACTGTGCCAGAGGACTTCATTTTACAGTCGGAGATGAATGCGTTTATAGCCAAAGCTATGCGAAATGCCCCCGAAACTACAAAATGAAATGTTCAACTTTTTTCCCTTTGCACATTTGAAGACAGACATATTTAAAGCTACCTGCCCCGAAACTAACTTGTTCTTTGAATAATCTTGGCCAGCAAAACATTAACCTTTCCTTAGCTTAATGGAGAATAAAATGTTTCTGAGGGCTGGCATCCTTAAAGTGATATTAACCCTTTCGCTGCCAAGGACGTCGTACGGAGCTACAAAAGTGCTTCCAGCTGGCCAGCTCAGTACGTCGTACGGACCTGGCATTTACAGTTCTACTATAAGCTGATGGTCGCTTTAGCGACCATCAGCTTATAGTAGAACTGTTCAGCAGACTGTCCCCTTTAAATTAATAGCTGTCATCACCAGCTGATTCGCTTGGCAGCGAAAGGGTTAAAGTGAAAAGGTTTTTAAGCTATTTCAAATGCTGATAAAATCACTTACAATGCTGCTCCTTGATGCTTAAAGGTTTTAGTTTCCTGCAGAATCAGCTGATCCCCTGAGCACTGGTCCTGATATCCGGTTTTGGGGTGGCTCCTTTCCATAGCGGGGTCATATGGAGTCACCGCTGTGTGTGCCTGCACAAATACACAGACACAGCAAAGCAAGCTATTCCCTTGCTACATATGACCCACTGCTCCCTCCTCTAGATTAGTAGATGGACAGCTGCTGGAGACTGTGCTGTCCCTTAAGATCTTGCACTGGATTGAAGTTCAAGGAAACCAACATGGGAGAGTTGGAGTCAACTCTCACATCAGGAGCCCTCTTCATTCATAGCAGAGTTCCTCTCTCACACTAGGCACCGACCTTCACATCAGGAGCCCCCTTCATTCATAGCAGAGTCCCACTTTCACACTAGGCACCGACCTTCACTTCAGAGCCCCCTGCTTTCACATTAGCGTCTCCCCCTCACATTACAAGCTCTTTACATAAGAAGCCTCCTTTTCACATAAAGAGCCCTCTTCACATCAGAATTCACTCCTTAACGTCAGGAGCCCACCTTTTACATCAGAGTCCCCCTTTTACATCAGAGTCCCCCTTTTACATCAGAGCCACCCTTTTACATCAGAGTCCCCCTTTTACATCACAGCCACCCTCTTACATCAGAGCCACCCTTTTTTTTTAAAGTGTGTCCCCCTTTTGCATCAGGGTTCCCCCTTCACATTAGGAGCCCCTTCATGTCAGAAGCCTGCCTGCACCATGGAAAGGCATTACACTGAGAAAATTTCAAGGCACCTCTGAGGAAGCCAGAAGAAAGGCTGCTCTATCTCCTCCCCCCCCCCCCCCACACATTGCAGCGTGCAGTTGCAGAGCAAATCCAGAGCAGGTGAAAAAACTGCAGCAGGCCCTATTTTATCTGCTCTGGAACGCATCAAAAACGCATGCAAATGCCTGGAACGCACTGAAAGCCCATTTTAAACTTCTAACCAAAAAGATCCCGGAACGCATCAAAAACGTGTCTAAAAGACTAGAGTGCGTGTGCAGAAACATGACCGGATTTGCTCTGCATTTGGTGTGAACAAGGCCTTATGCAGCTGAGTAAAATACATGAGGTCTATTTGTATTGTATCATCTTGCCACCAGCACTTTTTAGTATTCTGCACATGCCTGCGTTCAGAAATAGTGATGGTTTATTGACCTATTATGCTACATTCTCTTGTTTGTACTTCATTGTTGACAGTCATACTTTATATCTCTTGACCTTGTAAAATGAACGTGATGTTTTGAAAAACCCAGCAAACATTTATTGAAGAGAAATGAATAGGCTGCCTTAATGGAATGCGCATTAAGATGCATGCGTTAACACATTGCAACAGTGTGAATCCAGCCTAAGAGGGGAATTCCGTTTACTTTTTTGCTTGTTGCATCACCTAGACTGGATTCCAAAGAAAAATCTCTCCAGCGGGAAAACTGTTTTTAAGTTTTAAAAAAAATAAGTAAAATGATTTAAAAAAAATCACTGGAAGGTCAGGGTTTTGGCAAAAGATATGCAAAGTCTCTTCTGCCAAAAAAAATCTTCCTCTTGCCCCCAGCGATTTTATATTTTTTTGTGTAGACTGTATGCATCGTGTAGTACAAACACTCAGCCCATTCACAGCATCTAAGAGATGTGCCGAGTGCCGGGGAGGATGTAATGTCAGTGCGTATGCTCAGGAGATACTTCATCAGTGGCCACCCAATGGCCGAAGAGAACTTACGAGAACCCGGATGTCTCCGCGGCAGTGGACATTGCTAAGGACAGAGGATCGATCCGACAGCGCTGGAGAAGGGCACACTTGTAAGGTAAGTGTGCCCTAATGAGCAAATATGCATACTTGCACATTAGGGCAAAACCAGAAACATTACACAATTGCTTCTGCTTTAAGAAGAACTCCATCCCAAATTTTTAATAACCTTTGCAGTAGGGCTACCCCCCACACTGCAAGGGTTAATTGCTTATTTTGGTCAACGGAGAAAAATAATAAAAAGCTATAGTCACCCAATCCTCAACGCCGGCTTTCACTTAGACCATTCCGTTCTGACTCACTCCCCCTCTGCTGCAATGGTCTAAGGTCTGAGAGTTATCATGTTCTTTGCACTGTGTATTACTGAGGGACATACCATATCTGCAGTAGAGGAGGAGACAGGCAGGGGGGCACTGGTGGGACTACCAGTGTCGCAATCTTGACCAGGCCCTGGTGTTCTGTCTGTTGGAGGGGGTGGGCAGAGAGGAAGAAGAGCGCCCACGGCTCCCTCATCCTGCCGCAATTGCCCCCCCAGAGATAGTTCCACTCTCTCTCCCCCGCAGCAGTAGGAGTGGGGCATGTATGGGTGGCTGTGCGGAGATGAAGAGGCTGTGTTGGTCACCGGGAAGAGGGGGCACATTATATTATTAAGTAAGGATGTACCAGTGCCAATAGTGGGCATTTACATGAGTACTTGTAAAAATGCCCCGATAAGTCCAGATACCAGCACTGGCAAAACTACCAGGGTCACAGTGGTCTCATTTGTGACCAGGCCCTGTTGTTCCGCCAGTTGTGGAGGGCCCAGAACGCTGGAATTGATTTGCCACGCGTTCCAGTGGCAAACCAACTGGGGCTGGTGGGAACTAGCCCTGAAAGTCATAACATACAATACTGTTTATTTAATATAAAAGGTATCAAAATCATGGGTTTTGGTGGTAGGGGGGCCCTTAATAGTTTTTTGCAGCGCGGCCCAGAGGTTTATAGTTACGCCTCTGCAGGTGGGAGCACTGTCACAGCCATCTGGCTCTGAGGATCATGCGATTATAACTTTATTATTTTGCTCCCTAGACCAAAACGACCAGTTAACCCTTGCAGTGCAGGGGTCAGCCCCACTGCAAAGTTTAACAAAAACTTTGCCTGGAATTCTTCTTCGACTGTTTCCTACTCTTTCCTGAACTAAAAAGCAAACGTTTTGCCTATACATACACTATAAACATTAACATAGCAGCAGAAATCCGTTCCTGGAAATGGTTTGAAACTGCCAGCAACTATGAATCACTTGCATATTCCTGCCTGCAGTCATGTCCAAGAAGGAGGAATTAAAAAAGCTCTAACTAATCTGCAAGTTACAATGTATCCGATTGCATGCTTGCCAGCTACACCACTAGCCAGCCCCTTATATGAGCATTCTGCGAACTGGCTTCTACAACAATTCTACATGCAACAGACTCACCAAAGTTCAACTTGTGTGCTGCAGAAGGGACTCAGCTGTGCCTGGCAGCCATGGAATGACCCAGACTTTAGCAATGCAAATCACAAACGGATTGGCAGATAGAAAGGGTTCACTGATTGGTCAGCGGGGCCGTTCATGGTGCACTTTGCTCTCACAGCAGTCCATCTGCTCTGTGTGCAGAGGGTGCAGTGACAGCTGACACATGACACATAACACAAGTGCACTGTCACTGCTCCGCGCACTGTGATAGAGGACGACTTCATGGATCAGACTGTGCGGAGAAATATGGAGTTCATAACTGCACAGCGAGACTTCTGCGCCGAGAGTCTGCTGAGTCAAATCCTGCCTGTGATTTGTGCTGCAGAAGTGTTATTATGTCTGCCAGTGTGCAGTTACATGTAGTTACCTTGAAGCACACCGTGACACGTCTGTAGTCTGTTGGGTGCTTTAATTATTGTATTCATTAGCGTTGGACTGCGAATGATGAAGAGCAGACAAAACATGAAATTCACTCATGCAAATGGGGTTTTGTACTGTTTTGCAAGCAATAAGCTTACCTCCCAACTGTCCCTCATTTGCAACCATATCCCTCTGTCCCTCATTTGGAACCACATCCCTCTGTCCCTCATTTGCAACCGTATCCCTCTTACCCTCTTTCGGAACCGTATCTGTTACGTACCGTGGTGCGAGCCCGAACTGACTAGGAGGACCTCCCTTGCGGTTCTGTCTGTGGACCCCTGAGGTTGAAACAGGGGGTGCACAGGCAAGAGCAGCACGGCTGCCGGGTGTGGAATCGAGGGTGCCCGCTGGGAATGGTGCTCCACAAGAAGATTCCAGGGATGGTCAGGAACAAGCAGGGTCAGAGCCAGAGAGCTAGTAGCCAAAATCAGGATGCAGAGAGTGGCACGGAACAAGTCAGGTCAGGAGCCAGGGAGCCAATAGCAAATCAGGATGCAGAAAGTGGTCAGGAACAAGCCAGGTCAGGAGCCAGAGGGTCAATCAAATAATCAGGAAGCATGGGATGGTCAGGAGCAAGCCAGGTCAATCAAATAGCAGAACACAGGAATCAGATCCAAACAGGCACTGGTCACTGGCTGAAGATCACTCAGCAATGGTTGAGCCTGCTGAGCCTGCTTATATAGCCCGAGTGACATCACTGGGCGTGCGTCATGAAACACGGGGGCGTGCCACGCCGGCCGCCGCATCACACGTGGGCGTGCCTCACCGGGCCGCCACGTCATACGTGGATCTCGCCGGGCCGCCGCGTCATACGGAGGCGTGTCTCGCCGGGCCGCCGCGTCATACGGAGGCGTGTCTCGCCGGGCCGCCGCGTCATACGGAGGCGTGTCTCGCCGGGCCGCCGCGTCATACGGAGGCGTGTCTCGCCGGGCCGCCGCGTCATACGGAGGCGTGTCTCGCCGGGCCGCCGCGTCATACGGAGGCGTGTCTCGCCGGGCCGCCGCGTCATACGGAGGCGTGTCTCGCCGGGCCGCCGCGTCATACGGAGGCGTGTCTCGCCGGGCCGCCGCGTCATACGGAGGCGTGTCTCGCCGGGCCGCCGCGTCATACGGAGGCGTGTCTCGCCGGGCCGCCGCGTCATACGGAGGCGTGTCTCGCCGGGCCGCCGCGTCATACGGAGGCGTGTCTCGCCGGGCCGCCGCGTCATACGGAGGCGTGTCTCGCCGGGCCGCCGCGTCACACGGAGGCGTGTGACATCTGTGGGAGTGCTAATTCCAAAAGATGTCACCAGCACTCCAAAAGTAGATTCAATATATTTTAATGACAACGGTCATTCAAAATCACAAGTACTTTCGGGGCCACGTTGGGTCCCCGTCATCAGGCTCAGAAGCTGAAATCTTTTGGAATTACTACTTGACTACACGGTGCCTCTGTGGTCGCTGCAAGCACCCTATTACAGACATCATCTCCTAGGAGATCCGGTAAGGAGTGCAGGAAGATACACACAATTTTGTATCTGTGGGATATACGGGCTGAGACCCGACAGTATCGCTCTTTTCCTCATTTGGAACCGTATTGCTCTGTCCCTCATTTGGTACAGTGTCCCTCTCTCCCTCATTAGGTACCCTGTCCCTCATTTGGTACTGTATCCCTCTGTCCCTCATTTGGAACTGTATCCCTTTGTCCATCATTTGGAACCATATCCTTCTGTCCCTCATTTGGTACTGTATCCCTCTGTCCCTCACTTGGTACTGTATCCCTCTGTCCCTCACTTGGTACTGTATCCTTCTGTCCCTCATTTGGTACTGTATCCCTCTGTCCCTCACTTGGTACTGTATCCCTCTGTCCCTCATTTTGCACCGTATCCTTCTGCCCCTCATTTGGAACTGTATCCCTCTGTCCTTCATTTGGAACCATATCCCTCTGTCCCTCATTTGGTACTGTATCCCTCTGTCCCTCATTTGGAACCATGTCCCTCATTTGGTACTGTATCCCTCTGTCCCTCATTTGGTACTGTATCCCTCTGTCCCTCATTTGGAACCATATCCCTCTGTCCCTCATTTGGAACCATATCCCTCTGTCCCTCATTTGGTACTGTATCCCTCTGTCCCTCATTTGGTACTGTATCCCTCTGTCCCTCATTTGAAACCGTATCCTTCTGCCCCTCATTTGGAACTGTATACCTCTGTCCCTCATTTGGAACTGTATACCTCTGTCCCTCATTTGGAACCGTATCCCTCTGTCCCTCATTTGGAACCGTATCCCTCTGTCCCTCATTTGAAACCGTATCCTTCTGCCCCTCATTTGGAACTGTATACCTCTGTCCCTCATTTGGAACCGTATCCCTCTGTCCCTCATTTGAAACCGCATGCCTCTTTCCCTCATTTAGAACAATTTCCTCCTCAGTTGTTCCTCTTTTAGGTCTGATAAACAGAGATCTATGGATGGGATCTAAAACTTTAATTTTATCTCGTAATTATCTTGTTTTCTATTTGAAAAGCCAGTATAAAGGAAAAGCATTGGTGTGTCCATTGCCTAAATACATTGTGCTAGAAGGTGTCCCTTCTCAGAACGTTGGGAGGCATGGCACCTCCTCTATGACGGAGCTGCTTTGGGCCATTATTGTCACAATACCAAGGAAACAATCTACCTGAAGCACAGTGATGATGTATCTTTGATAGCATTACCACTTCCCTGAGTCTTTTTTTTAACTTGTTTTTATTGCCTTGGCTCTTTTAGTTTATTGCGTCTGGTAAAATTGTAGCAAAGCTTTATGCAGCATTTAAGGCTACGAATATTTCTTCTCAATCACGCAGCTTGGAAGAACAGTGATAAAGGATTGCAGGCAAATAGATTGGACCACAATAAATCAGAAACAGCAGGAAGTCACATTAGGGAAATGTAACAGCTGAGAAGACGGCAGAGCCATGCTACCAAGGCTAATCCCTCGCTTTAAAACATAATGGCTATAAAGTATCCGGTGTACAGTATTCTCATCATAACACGCTGGAATTATAGGAGAATGGCATTGTTACTGTAAAAAAGAGTACAGCCAAATGTTTGGATCAAACATCTCCTACCACAACTAACTGCTTTAGTTAGAGGCTCTGTTCTTGCTTCTTGTATTTATCCAATTGCCTCTTAAAGTGTTTATCTGGGATATAGTGTAGCCCCCATCACCTTCTGTGGGGTGGCTACTAGACATTTAATGATAGCCAGGGCATAAGTCAGTCTGGCTGGATTATAGTGGCATTTATCTGGTTAATTCCAGTTGCCTGACATTGACTGTACCCCCCTGGGTGGAGTGTGACTCTAATGTATTGTGGGACAGCTAATGAGGCACTGTGAGTGTATGTACAGTACAGCAGCCAATCAATGGGTTCCTCTCAACCACTGTTGCATGCTGGGATAGGGTACATATACTGGAGGGATTTGCCATGTGCTCAGACTAGTCGGGACCAGCCATAGATTAGAGCTGGATGCAGTCCAGCCACCGCCCAGGCTATGCCTGAGGCCTGGGGGTGGGCAGAGGCTGGAGTGTGGGAAGTGTTTCCCTGGGACCTCCATTATGGAGGAGGCCTGTGTTGTTGCCAGAGGAAGAGAAGCAAGAAAAATGGATGGCTTTTGAAGTTACCTGGAACTCAAAGGACTTCAGGGGCATGACTGGTGTCTCGCCTTCTGAGGATTTATGCTCATCCCTGCTACTTCAATTACTATCCTCTGTATCACAAGTGGATCTACACCAAGATACTAACAAAGGTCTGGTGAGTCTGGAGTCTATGTCTATTACACCCGGGATGTCTAGGATCCCTATACTCTCCCCCCAGTATGAAGATGTTTAATAAAAGTTATTCAGCATTGTACTACTGGAGTGGACAACAGCTCTGTGGGCACTAGAAGAAGGGCGGTTAATGCTAATGGAGTAGCTGAAGATCAAACTTCTAGACAGACTAGTGATGATGAACTTGTTAATCCAACGGCTCCTTCGGGATAGAGCTCTACAATATAAAGAAACAATATTCAGTACGTCTCTGCAATACATGCACCTTTCCCCATGTAAGCACAGAAAATACCTGTTGGTCCGCTAGGAATCCAGTGATCTCTCAACTTCTGGAGGTGAGCTTTCAACGCTGCCTCTGGCGTTCAGAAATACCAAGCAGAGATGTAGCCCTTCCCAAATCTCCCCTGTTGGACTACAAAACACATCCCCTTATGTTAGGGGAGGTGGTGGTGTGTGGACAAGCAGAGGTAAACTCAGGCATGCATTAACGCAACATATGGTAAAGCACAATATGTGCGTTGGCGTGCCTTGGTATCATTCATTGTAAATGGCACAGGAGGACAGTGTCCTGAAAAAATGTCCAGTTGATTGGGATTCTGCAACAACAACACATGACTGCATGATGGGCCACCACATCTAAGGACTGGTAAGCTCTAAGCTAAAATGTTTGAACATTTTCTTCTTCTGCTGAGATATACTTTAATTAGGTCTCTGTGTTATCTTTGGGGCAAAGTTACCTTTATGACAGTGATGAAAGCATATGCTTCTCAGCAGGCATGTATGTAAGTTCTGGCCTTTGA